TTTTTTTTTTTTTAAAAAAAGGGGACAATTTCATAAATAAAACACATAATTACAAACGGATTACAATCGGTAACAGCCGAAATAAGCAGCTACACAACAAAAATTCTTGGGAGGACAGCCCGAAAGACCGCCTAATCGAATACGCACAATGCACCCACGAGCTCCCAAATTAAAAAAGAATACAAATCCTAAAAGGAGAATAAACGCCACACACAAAAACACACTCAAAAAAAAAAACACTAACACAAGAACTAAAAATACTAGAATAATCCATCCCCACCGGCAAACCCAAATCCTAGATCCGTGACATCGGACACGAAACAAGAAACTCCAGACCGAAGTCGGCTAACCACCCCCGCCGAAGACCACAAACTCCTCCAACGGAAGCCACCATCAGAGAATTCGGACTGCTCATATCAAGCCCCACCCCACCCCACCTATAACAACAGCACCAACCCCCAATCGAAGCCAAGCCGCTGCCGGTGAAGCCCGTCGATCCCAACACCAGAAATCGGCCAGACACAGGCGAAAACTGTAACGCCCCATTATTTTAATAGAAGAATACCGATTTATTTTTCTAAAAATCAGAGTAAATTTTTTAAAAATCAATTTAAAGATTTATTTAACGGGCGCTACTCGAACATCAAACATCAATAGTTAAGTCAACACTTAACCTACGAGGAAAAACATCCATCCTGATATCAATCTCATGAAAACTGCTAACATGCTTTAACAAATAAGAATATCCAATCTTCCCATTTCATAATAATAATCCAAGTTCAAAACCCAAAGCATGCATAATAATTCCGAAACTAAAACACGATTCAATCTCCAGAGAACGATAATCGACATGGTTCGGTTTCCAACATCAATAATAAAACATGTCTGACAATGAGATAGATAATAAATAAGTGAAAGCAGGTAAACAATTCAAATAGCAACTATATGACCCTGCCTTGCTCGTCTTTCGCCACGGCCACCAGCTCAACTTGAAAAGAGAGATAATAGTGGGAGTGAGCAAAAAACTAGCTCACTGTGGGAATACCATGTAGTATAATCAACATAATGACTTAAACTCATAATCTCAGCATGCAAGCAGATCGTCTAGTCTACCTCCTACACAGTCCTACGCACATGTGATCACATCTAACCGTCGAAAAGACCCATCAACTGGAGCTTTACCGTCGGAAAAACCCATCAATTGGAGAATACTCTCTATAGGCTAAAGTTAGGAGAACGTCAGAAAAACCATCAACGTGAGAACCTCTCATAGACTAACGGTTCACATGCATACATAGACGATCAAGTCAAGCAATTATATCAACTAACATACACGGTAAGGTTTATCAACACCCACCTGATAAATTGAGATAGGCAAAGGCTCAACTCCTCAAACACCTACATTTAAGCGAGATAATATATATCAATAATCTATCTCACTACTCGAAAAAATAATCGAAAACCCACACTTAATCAAAATTAAGTATTAAGGGATTTATTCAGATTTTTTGTGGACTTGGAACTCTCGAAAATTTTTAAAAGAATAATACTCGGGCACGAGAAAGGGTCGCGGAACTTAAAATAAATTTTCTCGAATTTATCTCATTTTATAATAATTTTTAAAATTAGGTTTGACACGAAAATAAGGCTCTCGACACATAAAAATACCAAAAAGGGCCGCACTGGGCCGCTGACAGAGCATTGGACCGCGCTGTTCACAACTGGGCCAAAAAATGAGGCAAATTTGGGCATGGTGTGCGCCATTGGGCCGAAACACACGCAAATTTGGGCCGAACCCAAGCTGGGAAATGCGCGGGCAGTGCGCGGGCTGTTATGCGGGTTCGCGGGCTGGGAAATGCTGACTGGCAGAGGGCCACGCGCGGGCTGAAGCAGGTCGAGGCGCGGGCTGTACTAAGGGAACTAATGACGCCCACTGTCTCTTTGTTTAAACAGTTTATATAATTGTCCCTACTTATTATTTAGACAATATGACTTTTTTTTTTTGTTTACAATTATACTCCTTTTGATAATCGTGTGAAACGGTTTATTCTCCTTCTCTTCCCGTAACCTATCCCTTTTTAATTACTTCTTCTCCTATATTTTTCTTTTATGTTTTTTCATCACCGCATATATCTTCAAAACTTTATATTTATAAATCAATAAAAAAAAAAACATGATTGTGAGCGTATCAATCTATCTCTTCCATTTCGGACATTGAAAATCTGATTCGTAGTTCGACCCAATTAATAGGCTCACAGCCGAATTCTTCGTTCTTCTTCTTCATCACTTTCTTTTTTTCTTCTTCTTTTTTTCGTCGATTCGTTAGAGGCGCGGCTACACCCAACGACAACCACGATTTCAATGTCCGACGACCTTCTGTCGGGTACTTACACCCCTACCACTGCGGTTGCTCTTCGGGGTTGCCGCACAAGTTTTCGACTGACGTGAGGTGACCAGACATTCAGATCTGTATTTTTTTTCTTGATTATTATTGTTTTCGTTTTCTTTTCTTTGGTTTTGTTTGTTACCATTTATTTGGTTTGTTTTTCCTTTTTTTTTTAAATTTCGTTTTGACTCTCTTGGTTGTTTTGGAATGTCGTTTTGCCATCCCCAATATGGCCTCTGTTTTGTGAAAATTTGGTGTTGATGACCCTTTTCTTAGCCTTGAGAAGGGTTCGGTGTTGTTAGAAAATTTTTAGTTAAAATTTACTTCAAAATTCTGTGAGTTTGGTTGCCTTGGTAGAAATTTTGGGCTTCATATAGCGTATTAGAATTGGTGTTTTCAGCCTCAAAGATTAGTAGGAAGTGTTCGAAAATACTTTTTTTGTTTGATTTATTTATGTTTGTGATATAGTCATTAATTATATTGGGGAAAAGAGTTTCATTATATTTTAGAAAATTTGATTGAACTTTTGTTATTATTTTGTTTTAATACTTTGTTATTAAATTGTGTATTCTGATCATAGTTTGAGTTCTTTACTATTGTTTCATGGTAAGTTGAAGGTTGTTTTTATGTTGTTTAATAGGTGTTATGTTGTTGCACAAACACTTTTATTTTCTTATTTGTTATTTTTTTCTCTCGATCACTTTATCCTACGATGTGTTGTTTTTTTTTTTTTTGCCTTCAACATATTATTTGATCAATTTTTTATTCTTTGAAATTCATGTTTGCAGATGTAGAAAAAGGAAGAAAGATAGAACGTGCAAGAAGAAAAAGGAGAGAGAAAGAAGAAAGAGAAAAGAGAATGACAACAGCGAAGTAGGAGAGAGAAGGAAAGAAAAAAAATAGGATGAGAGAGACTGTTTGTAACTTTCATCTTACTAATTGTTTTATAATTTTTTTTTAAAGTTTGCCTAACTGTGTCCAATTTGGGAGTATATTTGGAATTGTGGATGAATGGAGATTCTTGCGTAATCCCTTCCTTTAAAATGGGTAGTTATAAAATATTCCCCGTACTAAGGTCGCTGGAACTGGGCCCCACGAGAGCAGGAAAATGGGCTTGGGGTGCCTTTCTTGTGGGCCTGGCATGCTGGCAAAGGATTGGGCTACGGGTTAAAAAAAATGGGCCTAAAACTCCTGGCTGCTGGCAGAGAATTGCGAGAAAGAAAAAAATGCATAGAGGCTGAAAAAAGGAAGAAACGTGAACGTAGGCTGAACCAAAAGTCGACCCACTCGACGACGAATAACCAACGGCAATCGGGTTTTCGAGAAGTTATAACATTATCGAAATAAACATATTTTCAGAGTTCGAACATATATAAAAATTGGGTTTTCGAGCCGAATAAACGAAATGACATACAATGCACGAATAAAACACATACGAGTGAGGCGATCCAGAAAATTACAACGAGTCTCTAAATCTTATTCGAATAATCACAGCAACATAAGGGGTTCAATATTTGCAATAACCGAGAGGTCCGA